GCCTGGCCTGGCCCCCGCCTCCACCATCACCCCCGAGCTGCACCGTGTCATTGGCGAGGGGCAGCCTCTGCCAGCGCAGCCACCACCCTGGGCTGTTTGCTCTCAGACTTGAAAGCCCTTCTTGGGCCACCACACACCTGGGAGCTTCAGGTGGGCCCTCCAGAGCTAACAAGCATGCCGTGGGGCACCCCACATGCAGGTACATTCACAATGTCAGCAGAGGATGGACTGAGACTTGATTTTTTGCAGTGGTTCAGGGCACGCACAGCCTTCAGCAGCCACCAGACCATCGTGGTGCTACGCATTCACCGCCTGCACATGTACAGGATGTGGCCGAACCTTCCAACACGGCTCCTGACAGGCACTTGCGCTCACAGACTGTGGAAATGCCACTAGTTTTAAAGACCAGAAGCTAATATTTACCGCCTGGTCTGCATCCAGGCTAGGGCACGCAACCAGAACTTTGCAGACAACAGCCAGCACTGGGATCCTATGAGGTCCCCAAGAGCCACCACCAAGGTAGCCATGTACCCACCACCAGCTCCATCCCATGCCCTTTTCCACGGCAGTGCTGACAGCAGCACGACTCATGGCCCAGCACCTCCCTGCTTCTTGCCCAGCTCCTCTGTAACGCCTCCCTCTCCCAAGCCTGCTTTCTCCCCCTGTTCTCCAGCTGCCAGCCCTGGAGCCACGTTTCCCTGCCCAGCCTCATGGGCAGCTTTGCAGCACGGCAGGCAGGAGCCCAGGGAACGGGCAGGAGCAACATTACGTGCTTGAAACACAACAGACCTCCTGCACATTGCAGTTGGAGCAGCTGCAAAAGGAATCTCCCCAGAAGTCTCTGGGAAATGACAGACTGCTTTGCCACAACTCTTTGCAACCAAACCACAGGGTCTGGGCACAATAAACAAACGTGGGGCTTTGAGAAGATGAAGTGTAATGCGGAGGCTGGCAGAGAGAGCATGGCCCTCGCAGGGGGCTCCAGCCCCTCTGTGCTACCCAGTCACCTGAAAAACCCCACTGGCACTCACCTGCACAGCTTCTGTGCGAGGAAATGTTTGGATGCAAAGCCTCCTCTGCTTGGGACATTGACACCACCATCAGGAGATGTCCCCCTGGTTGGACCAGCCTGGGGTTTTCACCTGGCCCTAGTGCAGGGTTTGCTTCCCCGCCTCCCTGCTCAGGGGACCCAGCAGAAAGGAGGAAGGTGAAGGTGAAGCTGTAATGGTGAGAAGAGGGCGAGGCTGGGCTGGAGGGGGCTCGGCAGGAGGAGTACCACAGGCTGGGGGAAGGACTGGGCGAGCTGAGCTGGGGGACAGCACGTGCTGGAGGGTCAGGCTGTGGGCTTTGGGGGCCTGAAGGCTGTAAAAAGCAGGGGGGCTCTTAGGGAGTGAAAGAAAAGGGGCTGAGAGGGGGGACCCCAGTTGCTGCTGGCAGCAGAGTCCTGTGAAACCCAGCACCTGCTGCTTTGGCAGCCTTGGAGCTCCAGCCCTGGCTCCAGCAGCCCAGAGCTGTGCTGGCCACTCCTCACCTCCCCATCCCTGCAAACCAGCCCAGCTCTTTGCCAGGAGAGACTCCTCCACGCCATGGGGAGCCCCATGGCTGTGGGTATCGTACCCCAAACACCCCCAAACCCTTCCCGTTGTAAGCACTGACCTCTCTGAGCGGAGAGGGTCTTGCCGCTCGCTGCTCCACCAAGCTTGCTGGGAGCACCGCTACCGATCTCTGCCTCAATGTCCTCCTCTCCACATGCTTACTGGAATTTATATCGGCTTTTTATTAATTAAGTGCTGCAGCCACATGACTCTGCTAACTACCAGGTAGGTGGGCTTCTCTGGAAACCGGGCTTTGTCTGGACAGAGAGGCAGCTAGCAGGGCGACATGCGGGAGGGAGGACTCCTTCTCTGCACCCCACGTGGCTGCAGGGAGGAATAGATCCCCACTGGCCCCAAATTCCCAAGTTTCTTGGGAGCCATCGCCACTGCCCTTCCAGGCCACTTCCCTTCCCAGCCATGCCTGAGCAGTGCCGAGGCTTCAGCCTGAGGACATCTAGTTCACGGCTAGAGAAAAACCAGGGCTACAGGCTCCTTGCCAAAGACACGCTGAGCTCTCTACCGGTTTTTGAAGGGAATATTGCCCACCCATAGCTGCTGGCAGGCACCCAGCCATAGTCCAGGGCCTCCAGAAGTCCTCCCAACTGATGACGACTCACCAT